ATATGTTGAAATTCGTGGAGCTTCGTGCAGCCGTTGCAACATCAACATTTTTCAACAGGAAAGCTGGATTCTTCATATTGATTCAACAAAACATTCTGTGGTCGGTTTTAGAACGGAATTCCATGTGATAATGGATCTGGTGAGGACAATTTTGGTTTGTACCATTGTGAAAATCCTAAACACAATTGCACATCGTCAAAATACGCCACCACACAATTGTGGTTTGGCAATGAATGATATAGACATGAACTGTATGTTCTTGTATATACAATGTCCAATTTAGCAATTATAAGCACAGAAATTTACGAAGAGATCATAGAATGTCTTCAGCTATTCCTTTAAAATATTTACATTTTTATAAGTAGGTTAAGCATGAAGAAATTAAGTTATTTATACAAATAAGTTTTTGACTTCTTTTGATTCATATATTCGGTACACCGCCCAATCGATTTGATGAATGGCAATCAAAAATATTTGATGAAAATAAAAGTTGTATTTAAGTAAAACTTTTTTTCTTTGTAAAAACATTTCAGACTTAATTATAAGTAACTTCTTTGCTTGTAACACACGTAAAACATAATTTTAATAGCTACTGTACCTAATTAAAAAGATTAATGCAAATGTAAGTAAAATATGAAGCACAATAGACTTGTATGTAGATTACCACTACTATCGAATTAAAATAATTTCGCTTGTTTCTTTTTCGCAATCTATCTCAGTTTATTACTGTACTGTGCTCTATGCAGACTCTCCGAATTGTTGTAAAATTGGCAGGTCTGTTACCAAAAGATTGTAATGCCATCTTGAACTCTTATTCAAATTTCATTTCTGTCAATCTTGGCAAATTAAAGAGATAGTTAACAAATTGTAGCATATTGCTGCGTCAGCGAACTTTAACTGACGTGATTAAAATTGGATATAAAACTCAATAATCTTGCCCTGTGTATGGAAACTAAAAGCCACTCTATGATACCGTTGTTGTAATGTTGAAGAGTTGAAGTTTCATTGTTTACTTTGAACTGGTTTTCACGGTCTCCAGTATCCAATGACGATGATGATGTTAAGTCGATTCTTATGACTAGACTAGCAATTTTTATGCCTTACCAACCAATCGTTATCATCTTCATCATTATCACTGTTATAACCCCGATTATTTGCTGTAGTTTACTTTTCTTTCAGCTAAGCATTAGGATCATTTATCTTTACTCCCCTCGTACATTCTTCTCCAATCTCATGTTCTCGTATTATGAAGAATTTTGTCCAGGGACTTTTTTATGAATTTTGTCAGTGGGGGAGGGTAAGCGGATTGGCAAGATGTAATGACGGGCTAGGACAATATATGTATTTCTATATAATACATGTTATATAAGATGTATAGAAATATTCATACTAAAATTATTTAAAATATTAATTATTCCCATTGTTGTCTTATTCCATAGAATACAAACAAAACAAACAACCTTGACTGAAAAAGCTATAGAGCTAACAAATTTACAATATTCTTTAATAAATGTTTTATTGTTGTAAGGGCTGCTTCGAAAAAGTCTTAAAATAAAATCCTTTTACTTGTACGTGCTGACAGTTGGAAAATTCATTCTTTAGTCTTTAGTGAGCATGAATTTCTGAACAGCAGGCCGTTGATCGTAATGAGGTGAGGCGAGATCGCTGAAAAAGCTGTTAAGAATTCTGTAACTGGTTGCTTGGTCCCTACTTTAGTATAAAATAGAACCGAACACCATAATCTTGGAGAGATATTTCATTTGCAGGTTTCATTGAATCAAAATTTTCAAACACTGTATTTGGAAACTTTTCTGTCAGTTATATTACATGACGCTAGTAGTAAAAGAGATGCATTAACAAACTCAACTGCAATGTTGGCTTTTGTTATGTTGATGATATATTTCATAACTTCATTTCGTTCGTCATTGACTCAAGACTAATACACAAAAAAGAGGAAAAGTTTATTTAGATACGAATAAGTGTCTATCCTGGGAAAATGAAGTTATTAGTTAGTGTAATTTCCAAATATTCTTTGTCCAATTTTCCATCTTCAACGTTAAGTGAATTACTTACATTTAGCTAGTTTTCTGAACACTCTACAAGTTCAAGTCCAGTTAGCTCTGTTGTTCATTGGAATCTCGTCACTAGCGAATGAACTGTTATTCTTTGAGGAAATCAATGACTTTGATCATCTTCTTCATCATCATCCTCATCTGAATGTTGGAACAGAATAATCAGCTTCATCGTCCTCAAAACGTTAAGAAGAATGATGTGCTTTTTCATACATTCTTTTCGATATGCCTAAAGATTGAGCAGATGTCAGTCATCAGAGCTTTTAGCCATGGCTGAAGTGTTGAAGGATGCCATGTCTTGAGAAATCTTTTTGCCTTGCCCTTCTCTATCTTATCGCAAGCTGCTGCTGGTGAATCTAAGATTTTCTTCCAATGTAGACGACAACCATCAAGATTGTTAAGGACCGCATTGGATTGCTGTATTAAATGTTGCGCGAATCGAAAATCGTAGTGTGCAGCAATTAGTTTTATGTTTAAAATAAATGTCTCAAGTTTTTTGGATCGCAAACCAGACGAACGGTTGAAAGTTTCTACAGAAATAAGTTGGATTTCCAAATTATTAATTCTGGAACAGATTCAATAAAGTCTTCCACGGCCAAGTCAGATCTGTGACACACACACCAGAAGTTAAATGTTTCTTAGCCAACATTCTCTTCTATTCGAGCCCAAAACACCTGATTTCTGACCAATATTTGCGGACTCGCCGTCTGTAGTCAGACCTTAATATTTTGCCTTAATATTTGCACCATGTACCTAGTCCAAAATGTTTTAATAAAGAAACTACAGCATCTAAAAAAACTTCGGCACTGCGTTTCTTGACCTGTTTAACACATACTAAACGTGTTTAGATGGAAAGAGGGTGCGTTTACGATTACAACGAAGGAATACAAAATTTTTCGTATGATCAGACCCATCCACCTGAGCCGCAAAACAACAGTAAGTTAGAAGTTCGCCATTCAAATTCTCTCGTTTGAGGTCGCCTTCAATGCCAAGCATTTCATCGTAGGGATTAGGATCACGGCAGTGCAAGTGGATAGCTTGAGGTTGAAAACCAGACAATCAATCCTTTTCCACTTTCGGAAGTATAACTGTATGATCAAATTGTTTTCCCACAGTGATCTTGACGGCCAAGATCTGGCTGTTGGTGTCAGCTCTTTGCTGTCAATATAGACATCAACAGCCATGTGTGTAAGTGTCCGAATAATATTGAAATCGTAATTATTCAAGCCCATAAGCTCAAGTAATATGTTTATTTATTTATACTTTTTTGATCATCTTTATCTGGGATTCCTCTTGTGGTTCTGCCATCTCTTCGGCAACTTGATAAGTATATAGCTGTAACAATACATAAAGTTTTTGTTAATAGTTTGTATTGATAAGTGTACGATATGTAAAAATCTTTAAAGAACTATAGAAAAACTTATGTTTTTTTAAGATTCGCTGCGAACAAGGCCGAAATTTTATTAAAAAAAAAGTGCACCGTTCAAGGAAAACTCCGCTCTATGTTTTTGTCACTTTTTTGCATGTTCTTTGGCTTTTGTGACAATTGGTCGTCAACAATGCAAAAAAAGTTTGCAAAGGTTTAATATGCATTAAAATGAAACACTCACTTACCTTTTTAATAGAAAAAATAGCCTCTAAATGCTTACGTCTTGAGCACGACGTCAAATCACCCAATTTCACATCCTCAAATTCACAAAAACGCTGTCCTAATTAAACTTGACCAGAAATTGAAGCACGCCATGCCACGCCATTTTCACGTTCTAGTTACTAAACTAAATAGGGAGTTTTAGCAAAAGTACGACTACGAGAACGAGTACGAAATTTGACTGTGTAAGAGAATGGCACGAGGAAGTTTGTTGTCGTTGTCGCTTCGTCAAAATTTAGTTTTAGCTATAACAACAGAACAAGCCTTTTTATTGTGAAAAACACCGACGTTTGCGAAGCAGCTACGGCTCTATTTGTCAATAATGATATCAATGACTCGGTAATACTGGTTTTGCAAGAATATAGGACTATTTAGACTGAAAAATCTTCACTATTTTAAGTTTTATGTACGATATATTTTGTACTATTTTATTGTTTGTTTACCTTTCACTTTGCGTACGAAATACATGAAAGTTTTGCAGGTCATATTTTCCTTTTTAATGTACATCTGCGCTCAAAAAGGGTTCTAAATTAAAGCCTGGATGCTCGAAAATAGTACTGTAAACTAATTTCTTACAGAATGAAGAAATATACCTACTTTCTTTGCTTAAAAAGACATCGTAGTCGCGACTACGAATTTTTTACAAAACATCGTACTCAGATTGATGACGGCTACGTGTTTTTGTTGTCGCAACAATGTTTTCGCGCCAAAATGACGTAAATCGTACTCGTAGTCGTACTCGTAGGCTCTGCTAAAACTCCCTAATATAAGTAGAAGGCTACTTTCTGATATATCGGGAACACACGAAATGAAGCCAAAATTCTGCGTCATATGACTAACAGACACGCGTGCTCAGCTTTAGCTTTGCAAAAATTCGCGACGCGTGATTGACTGATTGTAACCCAAACAAAGAATGTATTCTGCTACGCTAAAGGGTAGAATATTACTGGATTTTTTCTGTTGCACAGCCTTGTACTGAGTTATTAACACAAGAGATTGAAGTTTCCTGCCAACCAAGTAATTTTTTTGTACAGAAAACGTACAAATGCCAACATTCTTGTGCTTGGTTCATACCAGGGGCGGATCTAGGATTTTGGATACCATAGGCAAAACATTATGACGTCATTCAGTGCTAAACCTATGACGTCATACTTTGCAAAACATACTACACTATTTATGCTTTCGATAAATTGTTTAAATCAAACAGTCTAATCATTCAGCTATGCAGAATCTTGTAGATCTCAATCGTATAAATACATAAAAACATTGTATATTTATACTTACATATCACAAGGTCGTTGATTTTCACTATTCAGAATATTGATGCACACAAGACTGTTTCGCCCCATATCAGGGCTCATCAGCATGCCTAGGAACACTTTAACGCAAAACAAAAAATCGTGATCCGGCATGGACAGCCCTGTGAGAGCCGAATTAAGCAGACTGGTTATGGCGCCAGAAGTTCGCCTACACACCTTTGAAAAGGAGTTTGGTTAGAAATGGGTGACTATATGGGATATTTCATGGATGTGATATTGCTCAATTTTTCACACCATCCCAGTCAATTCCAACCCTTTACCCCCCACCTAAAAATGAGCACTCTGGTTTTTGAAGGCGCCAGAAACTCGCCTTTCACACCTTTAGCAAATAGCAAAAGGAGTTTGGTTAGAAATGGGTGACTATGTGGGACATTTCATGGATGTAAGATTGCTCAGTTTCTTACACCATCCCAGTCAATTCCAACCCTTTACCCCCCACCTAAAATGTGCACTCTCATTTGCCAACAAATGAGCAGAATGTAAATGTAATGTAATAGTCAAAATAGAGCTTTGTATAAAGAGTCTTTGTGAAGACTAAAATTTGGTGTAAGGAAAAATTATTCTATTTATGCTTAACAATTTTGTGAAAGTAAATTTATGTGGACAACGGCCGAGTACCATACACGTACTCAGCAGTTTTAAGATTGGAATGTATATAGGGAAAAAAACCTTTATCGGGCGAGCTATTAGTTTGATGCAAATTCTATTGACGTTACTATTGTGTACAACGCACAATAAATGGTTAACATATGGACATTTCAACAAAATAAAAAACTAGGATATGAATAAATTCATGCAAATTTTAGCCTTGTATTTCCAACAGCAAAAGTATTAATAACCTCACCAATATCTGGTACAATTTCCTGATGAATTTGCATCAAGGCCAAACCATTTAAGCGTTCCCCAACCATGGTACTTCGCTGATAGTTTTTAAGTGTCCTAAGGGAAGAAATAGATCGTTCACATTCACAAGAGGTAATGGGGAGCGTTCCTAAAATACGTAGTAAAATTTTAATGTTTTCAAATCCGGCGAAATGAACAGATTTTAAAGTCTGGGCAATGTTATCAGGAAGGAGGCCGCAGTGGGTCTCCCAATAAGTGTACCAAACCTAAGTTCAGCATCTAAGGCCAAAGGATTTGGCAAATCATCATAATAAAAGTTAGCCACAGTTTTGAATGGCTCTTTCCAATCCACCCCATCTCTTGTCATGGACATCATTTTCGTCGGTACAATGCTAAGGCCTTTATAGACATTCACACTCTCAAGGTCGAATCGTGATTCTAAAGAAGATTGCAAATGATCTAGTAGAGGAAGAGTAATTGCACGTTTATAATACTCAGAAATGGTTGTGGGGAATATTTTCCCTGGTCGTTTGTTTGCGCACTGTTCTTGGTTTCCATTCTTCAATGCCAACTTTTGCTGCCAGTTCAAGCGCTTCGTCATACCAGGTGTCATGATAAAATCAGAGGAATTCCTCATGTTCACCACCTCAGTTTTCAAAGTTGAAATTAAATGAATACCATCCATTATATCGATACTCTTACCCTGTAATAACTGTGTTACTGGAAGAGTTGAATCAAGAATATTTCTCGTGATAACTAAAGCAACGACGAAATCAAACCTGTCAATAAGTTGAAACAAAGATGAGGCATCAGACTGAAGCGACGGTTTGAACTCACCATCTAGATTTTCAGACATATCGTTAAGGGTGGTGTATACAGGTACAAAAGCTCTTGGAATGTATCTAAACCTTCGATACGTTCTACCCATCTAGTTTTGCAAACGTCTGTTAATCTAGTCTTTTCGAGTTTGTTTCTGAATTACGTATATGTTTTCAAAGGGAATATTGCGAGTTTGGGAAATTTTAATAAAATTAGTGGCATTTTAACATGTTTCAACATATCATTGACAACACGTATACTCAAAGAATCGCAAATGGATAAGTTTAACCTATGACTATAGCAGTGTGTATAAAGAGCCTTTGGGTTAAGCTTTAAAATTTGAGCTGCTAGACCATTAGTGCAACCAGCAACTGAACCAGCCCCATCATAACCTTGCCCCCTACAATCATCTATTGATAAAGTCAGTTCCTTTAGAGCCTCTAAAAGTAGCTTGTCAAGTTGAGCACCACTTAGTCCCCACTTACAAAAAGAAATGAAATGAATTCTTCCCTGATATTCATATCGGTATCAACAAAGCGCAAAACAAGAGACATTTGTTCTTTATGTGAAGAATCAGATGCTTCATCAGCAATAACAGAAAAAAACTTACTTTTTTGATATCAGAAATAATCTGATTACTGATTACCTGGCCACAACATTTAATGATTTTATTTTGACTTGTTTTAGAAATATAACTTCTATTCTTACCACAAATCTTTAAATGATTTTCTAAAACTTTATCCCCTCTCCTAACTCCATAATTGAGTGTTTCAATGAAATTACCAACCTCCAGATGAATAACAACCAACAGTAGGGTGATACTTGGAATCATCACGATGCCCACGAAGAGGTAAACCTAGACGTCCACAAAAATGACAGAATCAATAATTGGAGATAGTATTTCCTATTCTGTTCTATTTCTTTCTTGATACCAGCATCCATGATCATCTCGATAGGCTGCAGAGTACCTGATATTTGGGAATGCAAAGCATCAAAATTGGTGATGTGGATGCATGCAAACCGACTTCCCTCCTTTACTTTTTCCAGCATGTTGAGTGAAAGAGCATTTAGCATTCTTCCAATCTTGAAGAGGTTCAGTAAACAACTTTTTTACTTTACTGGCCTTGCCTGGGAATCTATTGCCAAACAACACACACGATAGACAATACGCACCATTTTGTGAAGGTGAATAGCAAAGCCATTCATGCTGGTCTAGCCAATCATGCCTAAATGATCTGCCATTAGATTTAGGAAAATGATACTTTTTATCTGGTTTATATACATTTTTTATCAAATGACATATTTCAGAATTATCCATACCCTTAACTTTCTCCCTATACAAGGAAACATCAAAATTATGGGTTAAAACAGCAGGTTGCATATCACCAGAAGTTGGAATACCAGGCAATAGTTCCTGGGATGATGTGTGAAGCAAAAGACTATTGGCTTTATTTAATGTCTGAGCAAGAGCTGCAGCAGAAGAAAAACTCTCATTGGGCATCCTTTTAAAAGTTGGTTGGGCAGCAGGCCTATTAGTTGAAGTAAAAATTTGAAATGTCAACTGTTTTGGTGCAATATTTGGAAAAATTTTGACAAATTTTCGTTTCTCTGTTGTTGAGCTGCTAGAATTAGACTGTGTACAGGAATTAGACAATTTTCGCTTCAACCTGTGGGCATGGAAAATGAGAGGCACAAAATGATTAGACTGAAAAGTCTCACCTGGTTGTACAGATCCTTCATGACAAAACAAAATATTAATAGCATCCAAACCTCTTTGGCTTAATAACCAGGGCTGAACAATACGATTAAATAACAATTTATATCTACTTTCACCAGAATCAGGATAAAAAGTATGAATTTTTCTACCTAAAACAGAAGATAGGCCCAAAATACAAAGAAAAGATGACCATTTCTGGTCATTACAATTTAAAATAGCCTCCTGTTTTACCAGTTCATCTGTTGTATATCCAGTGTCTAAACATTCTTTAGACACTGACAAAGGCAAAAGATTGTTTAAGCTTTGGGCAAAGTAATCACTGTGCTCACTTATAACAGACAAAATGCATGGGTGTTGAGCATAAAAGCAGCATGAATAAATAGCTCAAGCGATGTTAAAATCGCAAAGTAGGGACCAATGCATTGTTACCTACCAGAACTAGGGAAGCTGAACTGTAGAGGCAATTGCCAGAAGCTTCAGATCTTAAAAAATATTCAAGAAAAGAAATTAATATTTTGTTTGGTAGATTGATTGCATTGTATGAATGAATTGCTGACTGTAGACAAAGATATAGCCTAGCGAAATTGAGATTTAACCATTTTACACGTATATATAAATACTACAATACGATATATATAGTTATAATATATTTACCTTATTGCAGTACAAGTCTTTCCGTCATGAGCGTGCTTTGGCACATATATTTCAGCTCCAAAATTTCGACACAGAGTATGGTCGGGGTCATAAATTCTATCTAACAGCTGCTCGTTAGTAAACATAGGTCGAACGTCGACCAATAAACGAGAATAAAGCTCATTAAGGCATTTTAAATCGTTTTTGGGCAACGCAGACTGAGTCTCGTATAAATTACCACAACACAATGAAGACATTATAAAATATCACAAAACCGTACTCTGAGCACAGAGGCTGTTCAGAAACAATACGAGTGTATGTTAATTTTCAATTGCCTAATTTGCCTAGCTCAACTATGCTTATCAACAGCAATGATTGGTTGGAATTGCTCAAGTTAGGCAAAAAATTGACCAATGAAAGCATACGGTTGCAAAAATTGCCCAATCAGAATACCTATACACGATGTCAAGTTAGGCAAATTCATCTTGTTTAGGCAAATTGCTAACAACCAATCAAATGGCTAGATCGCCTTCTTGACTTAGGCAAAATGGCTGCTTTGCCTAACGACACGGAGCTTTATAGATAATCATACGCATCTGGACTACGATTCATATCAAAATTACGTCATTTAATTGCACAACATTTCTAAACAAAAGTCAGATGATTCGACTGCGATAAAGTGCTATTCATAGTTTCATAATTCGATAAATTCGTATCGAATCTAAGTCGAAGTATATTTTGGTAATTTCACCATAGGCACTTGCCTATGGTGCCTACCCCTAGATCCGCCCCTGGTTCATACTAGCCGAATGAAAAGAAACTACGATGCCTTTCGTAAATAACATTTTAAAACATAGATACTTTTCAATTGTGTTTTCTTTTTGTGAGTGTCATTAATGGATAAATATTTTAAAGTGGTTATGCAACGAATTGTTTTCTTTGTTTTTTTTATGAGCTTATTTTATAAATGTCTCTTTCCAGATTGGAATTCTGAAAACAGTATTAAAATTGACTTTTTCAAACTGTTTCTACACTCGCCTAAAGTTGCGATTTTGTCAATTTTTGTTCAAACTTTTGACATTGGCGATAATGTAGAAACGTGTACTACCTTCTGACATGGCGTATAGCATTAATAGCGACGAGCAGCCATGCAGTGGAAAATGTTGTGTTGCTGGCAATTTGAACTAAATCAGTGGCAATAATACTCCACAAAGTAAAATAATAGCTATCTCTCTATCTCCTAGAAGAAGAAAAATTTTCAAGATGGATATGATATTTCATCCTCGATGTGATTCAGTTAGTACATTCTCTAGCAAAGGCAAAGTGAAATGTGCGAAGTTATTGTTTAAGGAAAAGACTTTCCAGCAGGCACTAGGAAAACTAGGCATGGAATACGAGCCTTCAGACGACATTTTCAAAAAAGTAGAGAAGTTTGTTTGACAACTATATTGTTAAGAAGACTGCATATGTGTCAATATAGCCAGGTACAAATTGTTTCATTTTGACATTCTGATGTTTTATTGCCTCTAACAAAAGATTTTATTTAAAAGCATGTAATGCAAGCGAACTACCAAGCAGCTGTCTAGTCAAAATGTTTGGAGCCTAATCAGGACTAACCAACGCCTTCTGATGAAAGTACTCACTTATTGACTGGTGTGATTTAGCACCTGTTCCTGACGAGGTTCTTAAAACTGTGCAGTGTTTGTGGAAAACAAAAGCATGTTCAGATAGGGGTATATATAACAAATTATGACAGTCACATAATGATTATAATTAATTATATCGATTTTATCATTCGTATAAGATAGTAACATACATGTATTCACTTCTATTTCTCTTTAAAAGGAAAAACAATCAGCTACGTCAGCCTATATACGTGGCGATGTGTAAAAAAAATTGTCACATACGCTAGAGTGCAAATGTCAAAATTATTCAAATAAAAACGAGGCTGGTGATTGAGGATAGTGATGAAGAGGGTTATATTGTAAGTGCAATGTGAAGTGTATGAAGTGATAGCAAAAGAGTACCTTGCAAAATTTTTTGTCTTTACCTAAATAGAACACTTGGAAAACGAACACCCTGCACTGCAGTTATAATGTTGAGTAGTTACTGTGCATTTACTCGCCACTGAAGTAGATTACTGTATAAAGGACACAATGTATGGCGTGCTGAGTACAAGCTGTTAAATATTAATAAAAAAGACAATGTAAAAATAGAATATTGACATGTTTAGTTTTTTATTAAGTAACATGCGTAAATAGTTGGTATACCTGATTTATTTACGCTTTATTGAATCTAGAAGTGATGCTAAGTCGCGACCAACGAACTAAATATAGTTGGAAGGGTACCTTCTAATAATTCGTTAACACACGAAATGAAGCCAAAATTTGTCTGATTTGACTTGCAGACACTGTGGAAGTCAAATCACGCGAGTTCAGCCTCACAATGCGAAATTGTAAACAAAGTGAACAAATTAATAAGCAATATGCTTATAAGGGGAATTTCTCATAGCTACAGAAAGGAAAATTATTGTATTTTTCTTTTCTTGTGATATTAATACAGGAAGTTTAATATTCCTGCCAAACAAATATTTTCTTACACAATAAACTTACAAATGGCAAAGGTTTTTGCTCGGATTCGTTCTCGCCCGAGTGAGATGAAAGTACGATGTTTTTTTGTAAATAGCACGTTAAAACAAAGATTTGTTCACGTTCAGGTGCTCTTCGATGTGTTTTTATGTCAGTCTCATCATTGGTTAAACATTTTTTTAAGAAATGTCAACATAACAATGCAGCTTTACAAAATGTCAAAAACCTCTGCATTTATCACAGTTTGTTGTCTTTCATTTTTTTCCACAGAAACGGTTGCTTCAACGACATCTTAGAGTAAAAATATTGCTATAAATGAGCTGGACAAATTTACATCTTTCTGAAACTATTTTTTGTAAATTAGTTTTCTTCAAAAACACTGAAATAATTTGTTTGGGCCGTGTTTATCAGAAGCGTAGAAAGACTGAGAACAGTATTGTTGACTTTGGCTTCAAACTTTAAGATGAAGATGGACTTCCAGTTATATTTAGTACAATGGTCTCGACTCACACAATCCAAAATGGTCGCCAAAGGCTGAAAATATTTGCCACACATCGAGTTGATTTGAGACTTATTGTGCAGCTTTCAGACATGCAGCATACATTAAAAAAGTATTCAAAATATCTCGACTTACTAGTATGTAAAACTCATATAGTTCCCCTAGGTGCGTATACAACATAAATTTTTAGGCACATTTTTATCACTTGGCCCATGGACTATATATGTTTTTAATAAAGTGTAATATTTGTAAAGCCATATTAAACAACATCTGACAGTGTAGCTTTTAATTACTATTATGTTAATGCGATTCCAACTTTGCACACATTATAGCATAACAAAAACGTTAATTTCAGAAATACAGCCCAATCTACGACATAGTTATGTTGTATAAGCTTTGGAAATTGAGTAACCTAGCACATCTATTTTTATTATCAACAGATAAATAATATGCGAACTATCGAAGACCACCCAATATATAAGAAACTTTGACATTAAATTTTTTCGTGATTTTAAAACTAATATGGAACAAATCAAGTAGCCTAAAGTCTAAAAAATATGATGTTTAATAAAATAGTATGTTTCGAAACCATATATAGTTAAAACTTTAAAATTAAAAGACATGATATAGATCAAGTAAATGTAATATTATAATTTGCTCATTCATAATTAGGTATTTGCATACAGTTATACATAATATTTTCCATATTATAATTGTTGTATGGTTTAGATAGATGTCACATGAAATTTTAAAGCTACATAAAAAACTTTTCCGCATCACTTTTGCAAAACAAACATCTTGAAGTTATAAAAGTTGGCTTTATTAAAGTTGGCTTTTTTAAGAAAAATGCATATCCTTGAGTGTTTAAAAAACATAAAGCAACTTAAAAAAATATGTATTCTTGTCATTTATGTTGAACAAAATACGAAAAGGAAACTTAAATACAGACGAAAATATAGAGAATCGTAAAATCTGTTACAAAATTTGTTGAAATTTTGTAAGACACACCTGTCTTTAAAAACCTATGTGCTTACGGCTTTTTCATTATTACACACTTCAAGTTACTACAAGTAAAATTAAAAATAAAAGCAATATACACAAAACTACTTATGACAAAAGATATTAGTAGAAGCAACGCCAATTTTCAATCAAATTTTATTATTTGTGAATTTCTCTTTTTTGTTTTGGTAGAAGATAAAACTCAAAATACAGTCCAAAACAGTTTATAAGTAAAGTTGACATTTTTCTTTGCGTGAATATATTTGAATTGCTTAAAGTGTTTATAGCGGTAAAAGACATCTTTTAGTCATAAATTTCTGTTGTATATACATAGCTTTAAATGTATATGTTCATATAAAATAACAAATATACTGAATACTTTTTGTATGTAGTCGCGGTCATCTGCTTTTAGTTCAAAACGTTTGCGCGTGTAACTTTAAATAAATGTGACAAGAAGAGAAAATTTAAAAAAGTATTACTGTTTAAACAAAATATATTAAGAAAAGTGAACTTGTGACGTATAACTATCTAAACAAAATGTAAGACAAGTAAACAATTCATTTTGACGAATATTGCTTACATTTGTAGTTCCCCCATTTGATTTAAACTCTCAGAAATTATTTCCTCTCATTTGTATTTAGCATTTCCTTGACATATAGAATTAGCATATCTTATAAAACATAAACAGTCTGCAAATGAAGAATGTCAAGTCACGATAAAACTTTTACATACATAAATTATTCATAGTGACAAGAGCACTACATGCGGTCGTTTCTACAAAAACTAGCTAATGCAGGCTTGAAAATTCAACTAACAATCTTATATTCTATAATAATAAAGTACGTTTTATCAAATGTCTCCAAGTAATGATGCATGTACCAGCCAGCATGTATGCTATATTCGAGCATGTTTTATTTCAATTCTATATTTTGTAGTTTATTTGTTTAAGGTGTTTTAATGAAGATATTAAACATTTATGTGCATGTGTATATTGTACAAGACTTGTTAATTGCAAACTTTAGGTAGTTTCACTTCTTTTCTGGGCACGGTACTGCTTTTTAACTATGGCCGATTTGATGAAATATTGGGGCTAAATTGGCTATTCTGTCTAGAGCTGAATTTCACACCAAAGGGGAAAAATAGCTCACTATCGGGCTAAATTGGTCCTCTA